TATCGGACACCTTTATTCTCCACCTGAGTATCGCGGACATCCTCCTCCTGTTAATGCTGCCCTTCTGGGCTGCACAGACAAGTCAGCCTTGTGACTGGTCCTTGGGCATTTTCAGCCAGATCTTTGGAGTCGTTTTCAAGGTAAGGACTAGATGTTGTGTGGATCAGATAGAGACTGAAAATAAAAGCAAGACATTTTCAGTGAAGCTGTGAGAAAGTTTTTTTTGTTTTGCTGAACTCCATCATTTTTCTGCTGAATTTCGTTTCTTGGCAGAACGTGCAGAACAGAGTCATTGTACCCAACAGGATGACAGTGACATCCACTGAGTATTTAACATTTTTAAGGAAGAGAACAAGCTTAGAACAGCAGTTTAGAGTAGGACAGATGTGAAAGGGAAGAAATGAAGTGTAATTTTTATAGATGTTAGAGGTTTGTGTCTTACACTAAAAGTTCTCCCTGTCTTCTTCTAGCTCAACTACTACTGTGGAATCTTTCTGCTGTTTTGCATCAGTCTTCAAAACTACCTCTCTGCCATCCATGGCATCCAGTTGTATTCCCACGAGAAGCCCTTCTTTGTTCACATCAGCTGCCTGTCAGTCTGGCTTATCTCTGTCATCCTCACCGTACCTGACTGGATTTCCCCAGGGGCTAAAAAGGACTCCACAGAAGAGAAAACATGTGTTCACATCTACCCTCAATCTGGAACTGACTGGCAGTTGTGGTCACGCCTGTTTCACCACATATTTGGGTTGGTGCTACCTGCATTCATGCTGATGATCTTCTCACATATGCTATGGCGGCAGTGCAGCTCTAATGGGGCCCGAATGCCGAGAAATGTCACCGTCATCCTGTCTCTGGTGGTCGTATTCTGTGTGTGTTGGATGCCGTACAACTTCATATTTTTTTTGGACACTGTCCAGAACAGACTTCAGAAACATCCTGATGATTTACATAAAAGCTCTGAAGGTTCACTAAAAATCCTTCTTATGGGCACCTCTGCGTTAGGCTGCCTTCACGCCAGCCTGAGGCCTCTGCTGTATCTCGGCCTGTGTGGAAACTTCAGGCAACACTTACTGGCCATGCTGAGATGTAGTAAAACTGAACCAAAAGGCTCACTCTGGGATCTTGGTGTAGGCCAGAGACAGCAGCCTGATCACGGTCAGGATCAACAGGAAGAGCTGGAACGGATGATGGCTGTAGAGAATCTGTTAGCTTAGTGAAGATGAACAGATTTTGACTCAGATGTAAGTAGAACAACTTTACACTCCTGAGAGGAAGTGAATTCAGTTTCATGTCATGAGTTCAAGGGCTGGAGGATGTTATTCTGTGTAACTGACAAACAGATGTTTATATATAAAAATGACTCTCACATTCCACACATGCATCATGGTGACATATGCTCACCCAAAAGGGTTAAAAGTAGATATCTGTAAGTATCTGTATGATGAAGACGACGAGCTGAAACAGATGATGGGTGTAGAGAACCAGTCAGTTTAGGGAAGATGAACAGAGAAACATACTCTCATGTGATCATGATGATGTTACTGTCATGGTACTGGTTCATTGTCCCACAGCTTTGAGTTTATTTAGGTCCATGACGTATTTTGTAGAATGTGTTTTTGCAGTGTTTGGTCTTGTTCTTTCTTTATAGAGTTATTGCTATTCTTATGTTCAGTGTGAAGCCCTGATGTCTATTGATTTTTTTTTTTTTCCTTTTGGGTCCTGTTTGCCTTGGTATTGCCTCTGCGTGTCCTCCTCAGTATCTCTTGCGTTATTTTGCCACCCAGTGGAGTCTGTCTTGTCTTGTTTATTTGCCCGTTTCCACAGGCATGTGGGCATCTGTGTGTGTGTCTGGTTTCCCTCACCCTCTCTGTCCCTCACTCTCACCCTCGTTCTGTGTCTCCCTAGTCGTGTCTCTGAGTTTCGTCTCCCTTTGCTTACATGTTCTTGCCTGGGTCTCTATGTGAGTGTCACTTGTTGTTTTATTTTGACAGTACCTTATCTCATGTGTGTTATGTTCAGTTTGGCTTCCCTTGTTTTGTCAGATTTGTTCCTGATGTCTTTCCACCTGTTGTCCATCCTCTCCTAATCTGGTGTATTTAAGTCCTCAGATTGTTTCTGTTTGTTGTCCGTCTTTGTGTTGGTCCTCCTGTCATGGAGCCTGAGGGGCAGCACTGATAGTCGCCAGTATTTTTACATCTTGATTTCACTGTTGTAGCATGAGTACTGGGAATGTCCAGACAGGAGACCGGATGACAACAGCATGTAGTGTTGTTTGTTTTTGTTGGCAGATTTTAATCCTGCTCTAAATGTGTCTTATGCTTAAAACTGATTCACAAATATTTTAAAAAGAATTATAGTGGAATAGTCTTTAACCTGACTAGCAATAAAATAAGTTTGCATTTAAAATGTTTACTTTTCTTTTGTTTACATAGCAGATTTTTGCTCAAAATGTGTGCTTATGTCTAAAACATTTTTTCTAATTTTGCACATATTACACTGCACATTTCTAAGATTTTATATTTTTTTAAAGTGTTAAGTCTTTTGTTTGTTTGGGGTTTTTTTTGTTTGTTTGTTTCGTTTTTTACAGCTCAGCAAATTAAGATTCAGAAACTCACTAACATACAACCAAAACACCTTTTAGATCAATAATGGCATTTTCAAATTACATGCATTATTATTATTATGTCACTTAAAGTAAGTGGAAACGCTGTTATGTGCTTTGTGTTTTACAACCCTACATTCTTGTTTAAGATAACCTCAGAGAAGCTATAAGTCAGGAAAGGTAGCTGTCGTAGCTGTGTTTGCACGCTGCAAAGTGGCTCTACTTTTAGCATCACACCTGCCACCATTTCCTTCAGAATGCACTGTCAAGATTCTTTCTGTGTCTCTAATATATCTCTTATATCTTCTGCAGATATGCTTTGATGTTAATTATTTTCTATATACCAAAATGTATCAAATAATAATAATTGTGAAATAAAAGGAAAAGGATACATAATGTTCAATGTGTGATGTGTATTTCTTTTCAGGGTCCACAACCAGCCTGATAAAACTGTGTTCTTTTAGCTGGAAACAAAGTAAAGCTCTTTGTTTTTCTTGGTGAATTTTTTTATTTTAGAAAATTGCATGCGTGCAAAAGAGCCCCAGGTTGGTACTGTCCCATGTCTAGACACGATGGGACAAGTGCATCAGGGTATTTGGCATTTAAACAAAACAAACAAGTTTAAAAACAAAAACAAAAAACAGCCATATCAAATACGCAGATACACTTTAGGAAATAAGAGTGTGGGAAAATACCATATATAGTGTAAAAAAAAACTCCCTGACACAAAGTTTGGAGCTGAGATGTTCTGGGTATGATGATGGAAAGAGAAACCAAAGAAGAGGTTGTTATTTTTTTAATCTTCTGTACCTTGTAGCTGACATCAGGTCTGGCTTGATTACAGAATTATGTCATTTTATTACACCTCAAATTCTTTTTGAGGGGATTTCCTTACTCTTTTACTTAGAATGGTGAAAGTGTAGTCATACAAACGAGGTGGAGGAGGGTCAAACATTACAGTAAGAAAGTAAAGGCTCAGACGAGGACGTACCAGCTTTTGAGCTTGAAAAGAGGGAACACGATGGCCTCCAAAGTCCATTGTGGGTAAGAAGTGGTGTACAAGCTAGGGCTCTGAAGTTGTGAAATTTGGTTTCTCAACTGGCATATACGCACTGACCTGTGCAGGGAGTCAATCCGGTTTAAGTGTTGTTGAAAGTTAACTGACAAAGACGGGAGGCTCACAATTCAAAGCATTTTTATCATATATCCTATTAATCAAAAAGGATAAAGAAAGTGTGTGTGTGTGTGTGCACGCGCGCACGTGCCTGCGTATGCGTGCATGTGAGCCGTACAATTAATACTTGTTATTATGGATGGTATGGGTGGCAGCACATTGTTCATGCTAAGGCACCTTAAAAGCTTATATGTCTTCCTCTGAGCTTTCACCTTCCTGTTCTAATGTCTCGCCTTCCTCTACCTCATGACAGCAGTGAGTCTGACTTCCCTTCCACACTTTCAAGTAAAATCTGCTTCACCCTGCCCTCTGCTTTCTGAAGTGAGGACATATAGGTTGGAAATGGTGGTACATTTCTGAAATCCTACACATAACCACTAAGAGTTTCGAATTGAAACAATTTGAGTTTTGGCAATAGAATCATAATATCAGCAAAACAATGTATCTGTTTCCCATCTGGACATAAAATGTGCATGCTGCAATTCCCATCATTTTGAAAAGAAAGTCTATGTAGTCTGTTAGCTCAACCCCCACAAATGTGTTGTTAATTGAAAGCTCTGGATATCACATTGACAGTGCAGCAGGACTCATAAATCATATAAATGTCCCCAACAGAGGACAAAAATTAAATTCTGGGTTTCAGAGGATAATAAATGTGAGCATAATTTATTCTCAGAAGCCACTATAACTAGATAAAGTTAAGAAGACAAAGGACCACACATTGAACAACTGAGATGAAACACACTGAGTGCTGCATTGAGTTAAACTTAATATTTACAGTAAAGCTGGGATTCCTGTTTAGGACCTTTCTTTTAGAAAAAAAAAACAGACCTTTGTGTCAAAATAGCAAAGTCAGATATAAATCCTGTAAAGACCATGATACTACATCCGTACTTACATGTATGGAACGCCACATGCACATCATCACGCATCGTTTGATTGCAATGGAGCGCCCTCTGCTGGATTTGGGTTAAACGGCAGACATCTAAACTTTTTGTTTTTAACCTTACACGTTGTATAAGTACGGAAGAGGATTAGGGCCACTGGGGGAAAAAAAGAATTCTGACTCAGAATTCTGAGTCAGAGTCTGTTTAAATAGCAACATCATCACTTTATGAGTGGAGTTAGGTAACTCCAGCCGGCCAACCCATCTCACAATCTCAACAGCTCCCTCTAGTTTAGCAGCTATTTATGCGATGCTTTGTCTGTTTTGTTTCCTTCTTTTCAGAAGCCCGAATCAAGCCAGACGTCTAAAGGCGAGACACGGAAGTGAGTTGGGGGCCACCTTCAAAACAAACCACCTGTTTTTCCACATTAAACACGGAGGTCACAGAGAATTAGCCAGTGTCGCCACTGGAAGGTGTCTGTCTGAGCGCCGCAAAACCACAGAGCCTAGTCTTTTTCTTAAATTCTCTTTCTTTTGGATCCGCTGTAGTGTAATTATTATGCAGTATTTTATTTTGAAAAATAAAATATTGTATTTTCGCGTATTGTATTATTTGACTGAAGTGGCAATTTGCGAGCGAGGTGACGTGTGATGAACCAAAACAAGTCAGTGGAGTAAAAATTAAAATGTTTATAATTCCTTTATGTGCGTGACACGTTTAAAGGTAGCAGTTTGTGTGCGGGGCGTGTCTCCGATAAGCGAACTACTGTGGTGAGCTCAGCTTTTTTTTTCACCGTCTCCTTCTAAGTTACGTCTGCTCGCCGGAGCGCTTATGTTTGTGGATCTACTTTCAGCGTATTGTTCTGTAATTACAGTTTCATGGTTCTATAATTTAACTGTGTTTGGTAGCTGTAAAGAACGCCTTTTTCCGTTGTACTTGACAGGCGTCGGACAGCTGCGGGAGTTCGTCTGTGCTCCCTCCAAAAACACCCGACCGGTAGTCACCCTATAAAACTGAGTGACCCGAGGTTGAAGCGGTAGGCTATGTGCGGGTCCTGTTTTTAGTATCATCGACCTACAGCGCGCAGAAAGCTGCTCAAACTCTACAGCCGAAGCTCTTTATGTGAAGTACGTACATTTATTTGCATATATCAGCCCTCCTACAATATGTATTTTAACATTATGAACATTTTACTGGCAGCCATGAAAGTTACTGATAATTCTGTCTACTTTCTGTTTGCAATAACTGTGTGCGCAAACTTAGCGTTCCCTATCCTTAACTCTTGACTCTTCTGGTTTTGTAGAAGCTTTATTTTAACAACGGTAAAAAGCAAAGCTGGGAGGCAGTTTTATAGATTAAAAGTGTGTGTGTGTGTGTGTGTGTGTGTGTGTGTGTGTGTGTGTGTGTGTGTGTGTGTAAGTGACTAAGGAGAACTGTACTTTCCGTTTGTCAGCCCCACAATTGCTACATCACAACATGTGAGTTGTTGTATGTTTGTGCATTTACTATAAGCTGGGTTTACCAACGGGAAATTTCAGGGAACTAACATGACTTTTACCCAGAGAGAAAGAAAGAGAGGACTCTATTCTGACATAGAGCTTCTGAGGCACTGCAGCATTTTTGTCTGGTCTCAGTGTTTCAACATTTTTGTCTTCACAGTTCACGAACATGGGTGATCTAGATGTGGATCTCGATGGAATATTTAAAGAGAATGACACATTTCCTGAGGAGGACTATGAGTATGAGTATCCAGGGGATGAGTCTTTTGTGAAAAGAGGCAGTGAGGCAGTGTGGGTCCCTGCTCTGTACTCCATAGTCTTTGTTGTTGGAATCCTGGGAAATATTATTCTCCTGACAGTTCTGGTTCAAAAGAGGAGACTGTGGAGCCTATCGGACACCTTTATTCTCCACCTGAGTATCGCGGACATCCTCCTCCTGTTAATGCTGCCCTTCTGGGCTGCACAGACAAGTCAGCCTTGTGACTGGTCCTTGGGCATTTTCAGCCAGATCTTTGGAGTCGTTTTCAAGGTAAGGACTAGATGTTGTGTGGATCAGATAGAGACTGAAAATAAAAGCAAGACATTTTCAGTGAAGCTGTGAGAAAGTTTTTTTTGTTTTGCTGAACTCCATCATTTTTCTGCTGAATTTCGTTTCTTGGCAGAACGTGCAGAACAGAGTCATTGTACCCAACAGGATGACAGTGACATCCACTGAGTATTTAACATTTTTAAGGAAGAGAACAAGCTTAGAACAGCAGTTTAGAGTAGGACAGATGTGAAAGGGAAGAAATGAAGTGTAATTTTTATAGATGTTAGAGGTTTGTGTCTTACACTAAAAGTTCTCCCTGTCTTCTTCTAGCTCAACTACTACTGTGGAATCTTTCTGCTGTTTTGCATCAGTCTTCAAAACTACCTCTCTGCCATCCATGGCATCCAGTTGTATTCCCACGAGAAGCCCTTCTTTGTTCACATCAGCTGCCTGTCAGTCTGGCTTATCTCTGTCATCCTCACCGTACCTGACTGGATTTCCCCAGGGGCTAAAAAGGACTCCACAGAAGAGAAAACATGTGTTCACATCTACCCTCAATCTGGAACTGACTGGCAGTTGTGGTCACGCCTGTTTCACCACATATTTGGGTTGGTGCTACCTGCATTCATGCTGATGATCTTCTCACATATGCTATGGCGGCAGTGCAGCTCTAATGGGGCCCGAATGCCGAGAAATGTCACCGTCATCCTGTCTCTGGTGGTCGTATTCTGTGTGTGTTGGATGCCGTACAACTTCATATTTTTTTTGGACACTGTCCAGAACAGACTTCAGAAACATCCTGATGATTTACATAAAAGCTCTGAAGGTTCACTAAAAACCCTTCTCATGGGCACCTCTGCGTTAGGCTGCCTTCACGCCAGCCTGAGGCCTCTGCTGTATCTCGGCCTGTGTGGAAACTTCAGGCAACACTTACTGGCCATGCTGAGATGTAATAAAACTGAACCAGAAGGCTCACTCTGGGATCTTGGTGTAGGCCAGAGACAGCAGCCTGATCACGGTCAGGTTCAGCAGGAAGAGCTGAAACAGATGACGGATGCAGAGAATCCGTTAGCTTAGTGAAGATGAACATACTCTCTTGCGACTCAAGTGTGAGATGAGCAACTTTACACTCCTGAGAGGAAGTGAATTCAGTTTCATGTCATGAGTTGATGGGGTGGAGGACTTGTTTCTGCGTAACTGACAAGCAGATGTTTATATATAAAAATGACTCTCACATTCCACACATGCATCATGGTGACATATGCTCACCCAAAAGGGTTTAAACAGATGTCTGTATTTTATTTTTGAATTATTTAAAATGAAGGTATTTAGTTTTTTATGATTAGTAAACCATTTGTGTTGCCAATTAACAGTTTTCAACACAGTTTTCGTAAAGTTAATATCATAATCTTTGAAATTCAGTGTAATGCAAGTTGTTACCTTTGGCAGTGTTATTGACATCGTATGTTAAACAGTCCCAAACAGTTTATAACTTTAACACCATTAAAACAATTCAGTGTTTAAGCTTTCTCTCTTGTGCTCTCTTTGACTTGTCTTGAAGCAGTAAATCCCGAGATTGCGTAATGACATGTCAGCGTGTGATTGCTTTGCAGTTAAGGAATTTCCCCTCAAGCCAGTTTACTTAACTTAAAAAAATCATTGTTTCTGGGAATGTACAAATGTGACACAGGAAGAAAAGAAAAAAGTGGTGATGTCATCAGTCAGGTGACAGAGCGCGGTGGAGGAGGGGTGCTGCACCCTTTTCGTAGCTTTCTATTTACAGTCATCTGAAGACGTGTCTGTGTTTAGTAGGAAGAACTGTGTGAGGCTTTGTGAACAGAGCCAGCTGACAGAAAACCAGCAGACCAGTATGTGGGAGAAGAACGCACGTTAGAGAAGATAAAAACTTATTGTGATGATAATAGTGTTGTGCTGCACACACACACAAAAGCCTGTGGTTTTATGCTTTCACACTGCTCAGCACGTCGTGACCTGCCATGCTTGCTTGGTTTCAAATCCTAACAATCTTGAGAAATGTAACTATGTTCAGAAATAAATGTACTTTCGGTACTGAGTGTTCTTCTGAAAACAGTGCAGTAATTTCACACTTGAAAATATTCAGTTTCCTCGTTTCGACGCACTCCTTCCTCTGTTTAGTGTTTTGTGACTCCAGAGAGTCTGTAAGAGCGCATGATGCAATAAAAGAAATGGTGGCTGTCGAAAGCAGCAGAAACATTCTTCGTGTTTAAGATGTGGTTTACAGTTTTCAGCTGCACCTCAAGCATTATTTCCTGCTTCAGCTTATCTGGCAACTAAGAGAAAACCAGCTAATCAGGTCTTTTGTTTAATGAGTAACAAATCTGGTATGAGCAAAGAGAAAGTCTTTGTATACAACTTGATCAAATGTAAGCACATTTAGCAAAAATACTAAATGATTAACACAAATCCAGGGCTAGTTGACCCTGTTTGGCTGTGTTTGCAGACAGTGTCTTTAATCCACCTTACTCTCTGTTGCTTTACTGAAATGTTTATAGTGTAGACATCCTGACTGTGCTTGGGATGATCTAAGCACTGCTGCCATCAGCCTGCTATTGTCAGATATTTGCCTTTCACGTAATTATGAAAACAAAAGCAGTCATGTCATTGTCCACATGTTTTTCTGAATGTCGATCATGTGGATGTCATTTGTTTTGGAGAAGTGAGTCACATGTCACATTATATCTCATTGTTTCCATCTGTTACGTAAGATCTCTGTCACCGAGCCAGTGCGTCTACCTTTCATTTTTATGGTTTCAGTTTCCAGTTAAAAACATGTAAGCTGTTTTTACAAAAACTGCTGGATGTGAGTTTAAAATTTCTCTATCATTCTTACATGCATTCTTCATCTGTTTGCCAAAATCGGTCGTGAACTTAACTTCTGCTCGGTTTACACAGGCCATTATAAAAAAGAGGGAAGAAATAGACCAAAATGTTGCGCTGTCTTCTGTCACGTCAGTCGACATGTACTGAGTAAAGACTTCATGAGCAGAAGACAAACAAGTCACACAGTGGTTTCATAACGTGATTTGAAAGCTGCTTTTTTTCTTTTAGATAATGCTTAAAGCAGGTAGAAATAAGCAAATAATGCATGTAATAATGCAGCTTTTTTATCTTTGCAGGCTCCTCTATACTGTAAACATTAAATATTGGGAGTTGTTATAATAAGTAGAGTTATGGTATGTTGTAAACAGGAAAGTTCCCTTCAGCTCAATAAGATTGTAGAGCAGCATCTATACTGACAACCAATAAACTAACCAAAACAATAACTTACTCATTTTTTTTGCTCTTTTAAAAAATGTTTTTTACACATTTATTTTGTCAGCAATTGTAACAGTTATTTCTCTGGTTTTACTTTTTATTTATTTAGCAACAAAATTGTTATTACCACAAATATAAACTCTGGGCAATAAAATTCCTCAAAAAAGAGCCAAAAGCTTTTACTGAGGAGTAGAATTTTTGATTTAACTACCTATAAACTCACCAACAAACATGTTCACTCATTTAAGTGTTCATTTTACATTTTTATTTTACTTTTGCTTTGAAGTTTTGTTAAAAATGTGTGTTTTATGTCTAAAATTGCTTTTTAGAAACATGTTCTAACACACCTCAGATTTTGAATTTTCCAAACTGTTAAGTTTTTTTATACAGCTCAGAAAAACAGTTTGTTTAACATAAAAACATTAAAATAATAGAACGTTGTATAACAGTAAGAGTAATGGTGGCCTTCATTATGGTTTTAAAATCACCAGCGATAGACAACATTTCCAAACTGCATGCATTATAGGCCACAGAAATTATGCAATCCCACACACAAAAAAAAGCTGAAGTAATTCTGGGAAGTAATTATAGACCTATGCATACATTAATTATACTTGTATAGGAGAGCCACAGAGAGTCAAGTCAGCAAAGGTAGCAGTGTCAATGCCTGTAATTTAAGCCTCACACCTCATCTTTCTTGCGGTGTGGACTGGAAAGAATCTCTCTGCATGTCTAATATATCTCTTTAAATCCACTACAGATTTGCTTTCTTGTTAATTAATTCCATATATTTCAAAATGTAGTAAATATCCATATTGTTTACAGTAATTTTGTTGGTTGGTTTTAAAATGCCATTTTGAAGTAATGTAAATAAAGTGTGTGTAGTAAATTTGAATTTTGAAAGATGTGGTGGCTGAATGTTCATTGGGTTGACTTTTGCTTTGTCGACTATGTGAAGTTTTTAAAACAAAATTTCATTACTTTAAACATTTTTTGCGCAAATAAAAAAATATTTGTCTGTAAAAGTGAATTTAGCCTTTAATCCTGAGAGTAAAATCCTCATCTAATGGTGCTTTCCAGAAGTATTCCAAGAGAATATATATCCCTGGGTGTAAATCCTGATATTTTCAAAAGCAGCCTATATAAACAGGAACAAACCCAGCTTAAAACGACTGGGCCCCCGCATAACACCAGTGGGTCCTTCCTATTTAAAGAACTGCTTTCAGTCAGTCAGAATTCTCTGTAACATCAACTAAAACTTTACACTTTGTATCAGAGACTACAGTTGTGATTGGAAGTTTATATAAATTCATCATGAGGATGAACTTGACAGTAATTTTGGACAGGGAGAGTTCTGGCTCCTAAAGAAAGAAAGAAAGAATCAATCAGTGGCCCTCATTTTGGAGCTCCATCTATTATCATGGGGTGAGCATGACCATGAGAAAAGGTGTAGGGGAAAGCGGTGCTCTACTTACACTGTATTTAATGAAGGTGGGGTGCTACTGCCTTCAACTGAGGACATAGCCAGACTGTGGAAGAAATACTTAGAGGAGCTCCTTAATCTGGCTGACTGTTCTTTAGAGGAAGCACGGTCAGGGGGAAGAATTCACCTATGATTTGTTTGATGATTTGAAACATTTAAGTCTGACATGAACACTGTTTCCCTGCTCAGGAGCCGACGCCGGAACTTCTCACTCACAAAAGCATACAGGATGGGATTGAGGCAGCAGTGAATGAAACCCACACAGGTGGTCACTGTCTTAATTTTCTCCAGGGATGTTGTGTCTGAACAAGTTTCATTACTGATATCAAAATTAAACGTTTCCACTAAGAGCGTGATGTTGTACGGGGTCCAGCAGATAAAGAAAACCACCACCACAGCCACAATAACTTTAAAAGCTCTCTGCTTTTGATGGCTCTGGGCACCACACCTCAGCTGATGCAAAATGCAGGAGTAGCAGAAAATCATGATGGCTGAAGGAAGTGCAAAGCCAACTATGAGATAAATCATGCGTGATGCCAACCTCCAATTATATACAGCCTCCTCATCAAATTTGTAATAATTGGGAATACACTCTCTTCTGCCTCGTCTATCATCAAACACATCTTCTAAAAAGATCCAGTCAGTGATAGAGAGAAGCAGGGAAAAGCACCACACCATCAGGCAGCTGGCCTGAACAACCCAAGGCTTCTTCCTTGAGTACATCTGTGTAGCATGGACGATGGACAGGTAGCGGTCCAGACTGATGCAGGCCAGGAGAAGGATCCCACTGTAGAAATTAATCTAAAGAAATCAATGAAAGACACTTCTGCTAAATTAAGTGAAAGTACAGACATTTTCACTGCATCTTTACTTCAGCACAATACTTACTGTAAAAACACTTCCACTGATCTTGCACAGGGGAGTACCAAATGTCCATCCATCACTTTTGGCATACTGTACTGCCCAGATGGGCAGCGTCACCAGCATCAGGATATCTGCCACTCCCAGATAGAAGATGAATATATCTGTCGCACTCCAGGTCTTCCTACTCCGAGCCAGTATCCTCAACAGCAATCCGTTCCCAAGCAGACCAACAACGAACACCACAGAGTACAGAACTGGTATGAACACAGCTTCAAAATTCACAGTGTCAGTCAGGCTGCAAATATCACTCCCCTCATAAGAGCCATTCGAGTCTGAATAGTTATAGTTCTCGTAGAAATCAGACCAGTCAAGGTCCTCCCCTGTCACTGTAATCTTTTCATCTTCCATCATCTGTGGACAGACAGAGAAAAGGATGCAAATTTTCACTTAGACTCTGACTTATGATGTGATTTTCAACCACATGGTCGATCATGTTTTCTGTATTTTTTGTTTTCTGTATTTAGTTTTTTGTTTGTTTGTTTGTTTTTTTAATGCATGCCTTTAAAAAAGCTGCTGCATTAGATATTCCGTGCCTTCCAGTTAAAGTAGTTGGAAACACTACTAATATTATCCAGGTAAAGAACACATTGGGGTTTTTTTTAAATAGATAATATTTTAACAGTGAGGACAGGGTAAAAAACAAACAAACACAGAAACTGGATACATAAAGCTTTGCTTTGTACGGTTTATTTATTTATTTATTTTTATTAACTGAATTACTTGTACCAATCAACAAAAGACAGTGTCAACCATTTTAGTCATACTATTGGTTTATTTTTTAATTTCTTAATTTCTTTTAACTGTTTTGTATCTTCTTCTTCTTTTATTTATGCTGGTACAATTTAGGGAAGAGAAACTGATATACACCAACCAAGAGGAAGCATGTAAATTCACATTTTGCAAGAAATTAAGAGTCAGGTGGCTCTAGACATTAGTGTGTCGTAAACATAATGTCATAAACGTACTGAATGTTTAAAACAAAATATAAGGAAAATATCACTCGTCACATCACAGTTTAATATGCTGTAGTTTGTCACTGAGAACTGAAGGTGTGTATACAAACAGAAAAACAATCCTGTAAAGAAAAACATACACCCCTCTGCATCAAATCAATTCAATTTGTGATCATTTAGTAAATTCTTAAACGCATAATTAATTAATGTAAACAGAGAGTGGTCAATGTAGTTAAAATGCATAATAGGATGTTGACCAAAATGTAAGAATAATGACATACTCGTGAAAAATTAGAAATAGCCAGTATAGAATGATAAATAATTCAATAATTCAATAATAAAGGCATAAAATCAAAACCTACCAAAGTAGAAGTCTCTAATATCGTAGATAATAAAAATGTGTCCAGAGCTCTACCTCCAGCAGTGCCAATAAAAGCATTGGTTAAAGAGGAAGCTCGCACAAAAACAAAACCAAAACAAACTCCTCCACCTTACTAAGCACATCATGAGCCAGTATTTGATTTTTTTATATAAAATTATTAACTTTGTTTTGAAAAAAGTATTTTTGTAAAAAATAATAACAATACTTTTAAATTCTATTTGTATGTTTTATTTTGTATTTATTCTTTTTTTTAAGATGCTGAAAATGGAGCTTACAACTGCACTTCATATATTTAAATTGTGCTTTTAAGATGTCTGGAACTAACTACAGCAGAGATAACTGAACCCATTTACAAATTTGCTGTAAAGCTGTAAGATTTCCTCATTGTTGCCCTTACATTTTTGTTATTACTGTGAATATATGATATAAAATCTCATAGGATCAGTGTGTAAGTGGTGGTTCCACTGTCTATGTACACATTTCTGTGAAATCAGGCACAAAACCTAAAAACACTCATCAGATTCATTTTGAAGTTATGTTTCAGACATTTTTAGGAATTAAAAGACTTAGAGTTTTAGTCTATAAGTGTTATCAATATGTTATTAACATTTGAATAAAGTTGTTTTATTTAGATCTTTTTTTTGCTTTTTTTTGCTTTTCTTTTTTGCTTTTTCTCTGTCAAATAAAGAAAACTAAACAAATTAGTCAACTGGTGTCAAATTGAAACTGAAACCTAGAAACTAGTTGTCCCAATCAAAAGAATTTAGCAACCGTTTGATGGGGGTTTTTCTAAACTCTCTTTTGGTTTTGATAGCTGCCCTTGTATAACTTTAACGATCATTAAGTCAGTAAGATTTCTTTAACTGGCCTTTTGATCCTGTGGGTGTTCTGTATAAAAAACTATAAAAACTGACTTGTTTGTGTTATTTGGAATAATGATTCTGTATTTGAACACATATAAAACATAAATCAATGTGCAAAAAAATACATCATAAAACACATGTTGTATAAAACCTTTTTAAGGAGAAATAGT